TGCGGTGCTTTTGCTCCAGCTCAGTAACTTAAGCACATGCTTCACGTTCTGTTGCCAGGCAAATAAGCAGTGTGTTTGTGTGTTGGAGGAGTTTTGTGCTAAGAGCCAGTTGTGAACTGAGAGGGATAGAACTTGGGCTGATGTGTTTCGTTCTTGTCAAGCCTCTTTCTAGAAATTTTATTGGGTTGTTGTTGTGTTTTTTGGTCTTTCAAAAATGCATACGTTTCTGAATGTATCACGTCTTCATTAACCAAAAGAATACACATGGTGCCTACTAAATTTGTTTACTATTTTAAATGTTCCTTTTTATTTTTAGTAGCCCAGGTTATTGAAATTTTCAAGGCAGATTTTTTTTTTCTTAGCTGGGGTAATTTTTCTCGAGAGAATAACTGATCACACCACAATTATGTGAAATTGTGTGAAAAGACAGTTTTCTAGCCAGGTCTTCTGTTTGTATGGTCAGACATGCCTGTAAGGTTACTCCAGCAGCAGAGGATTAAATATTCCTATGTGAGCTGGCCTTCAGCTCCTGTGCTATTACTGCATTTCTATCGACCCGAGCTATTGGAGCAATAGTGTTTGAACCAATAGCCTTTTAAATAAAAGTCTGCCCCATTGCTGGTGTGTGTGTGTGTGTGTGTGTGTGTGTGTGTAAAAGGGAGGGGGAGGAGGAGGAGGAGGAGCAGGAGAAGGAGAAGGAGAAGGGGAGGAGAAGAGGTATTAGCTTAGTACGTGTTCTATAGGTACATTAATTCATTTAAGACTCTGAAACAGGTTTGGATCAGCGGTAGAGTGTCGGTCTGCGGACTGAAAGGTCCCAGGTTCGATTCCGGTCACGGGCATGTACTTTGGTTGCAGGCACATTCCAGGTAGGGGGTGTGCAAGAGGCAGCTGGTCAATGTGTCTCTCTCATCGACGTTTCTAGCTCTCTAGCTCTCTCCATTCCTCTCTGTGAAAAATCAATAAAATATATTTTTTAAAAAAAAATAAAAAATAAAACAACAGCCCTGTGAAGCAGAGACCACTCTTAGCCCTCATGTTCTGGCTGAGAAGACTGTCAGGAGAAGTGGAGGCGGGTGGAAAGGAGCCAGACAAGCACAACCTGTGAACTTGCTCTCTGAGTCACTGTGCAGCTCTTCCCTGAGAGCCCCGAGGACATTTTCTAGCCCTGAGGAATTTATTCACAATGGAGTGGATCAGCCCAATCACTTCCTCCCCACTTTCCCATCCGCCGCCGGCTAGACAGAAATCTCCAGCATTCCTGTTAAATAGAACTCATCAGGCCAAGCACAAATGTGGGGACACCCCTCCCCCCCCACACACACACACCCGTTTTACACGTGTGTTCTTGGGAAAGGGGCACAGGCTGGCATGCAACAGGCGGGCTCCAAAATGAACGTTTCCCTGCTTTCTCTTCTAACGAGAAAAGGCTCCTTCCTCTTTGCCAGTGCGGGAGCCGGCGAGGATCGGCGGCACCATCTGCACAACCCGAGGCGACCCTCTTAGGACATCCCTTCCCCCCTCCCTTCCACCCCTGGGCTTCTCGAGATCAAACGAGTGGACAAACACCCCGGTTCGCCTCGGGCAGGGGGACCCCTGTGAGCACTCTATACAAACTGGGTTGTCCAACCACCGGAGGAAGGAAGCTCGCTCCGACCCCATGCGCCCTTGCGGTCCCGGAGCGCGCGAGTGGGGGGCGCGGGCGAGGGGCTCCGGGCGGGGCAGGTGGCAGCAGCCAGGGCTCCCTCCCCTTCCCCCCGGGCTTCGTGGGGCGCCGGGTGCGGACCGCCTAGGCTGGGGGTCCGGGCACGCTGCCCGCGTGGGGTGACTCAGGGCGGCGGGTTTAGGGGGGCTCCTGGCGCGCAGCGCTGATGGGCAGTACTCGCCCGGGGCCCGCCTCCGCCCGCCGCACGCAGAGGGAGGAGCGGCGGTTCCCGGAGGCTGGGCGGCGCTGGGGGGGCCAGTGAAGGGGAGCGAACGGGAGGGTGAAGGGAGGCGAGGGGCGAGCGCCGGGGAGCCGCATGGAAGTCTCCGCTGCCGACAGGCTGGCCACTGCTGCGGCCCGGGGTCGCGCCGATGAGGTCCAGGCGCTGCTCCAGGCGGGAGCCTCGCCCAATGCCCGCAACAGCCAAGGTCGGACCCCGATCCAGGTGGGTGAGCGAGTCTGCGGCGGGCAGAGGGATGGTGAACGCCTTCGGGGGGACGAGGTTCGCACGGGGGTCGCAGCCAGGTATAGCCTGTAAAGGGGAGACAACCCCGGTGTTCCCGCTGGAGCTGGGGTCTCCTCCGGGCGATGCCCCCGTGCCCGGCCTCCCCCCTCCCCCCAATGCACACACACCCTCCTCTCAGGAAGCCCAGGGAAGAAAGAGGAAGCAGAAGGGGTGCAGGATCTGGAGGGAGAAACTATGTATGTTAATATAGACCAAGCTTTATTCTTTTTAAAGATATATATATATTCTTTATCAAATAACAAAACTTTCGAATGTTGGTGTGTAAAACGTACAGATTTAGAGAAATGTAAGATTAGCTGGGATCCCTTGGCCCTAAACACACAGGCCTCGGAAAGGAGCTGATTGATGATCACTTTCCACCCTGGCAGGGATTTCAGAGGAAATCTGCCACTACGCGTATGTTGCAATAAGTATCAATTTGAGATTTTCGGATGTAACTACTAGTGTACAAAGACTTAATGTACAAGTATATGTTTGCTTTGCAACAGGTGCTTATAAGAATTTAGAAAATGCCGACATATAGAAAGAACATGAGTGTAAATGCCTCAAAATATCAATTTAGTCACCATGTTAGTGGTATCTCCTGTTATGGTTGCCATTGTTACCTTACTTGCTATAAATGAACATATTTGAAGTAGAGTTTTCAATTCCTCAGTGTTGAGAAGTGTCATTTCTCCTCTCCCCACTCCAGTTTTTTGTTATTGGTTTGTGTGGGGGTAGGGAGGGGTCAGGTTTTTGTTGTTGGCCTTCATTAACTTTCTAAATCTCAGGCAAAAAAAAAAAAACACAAAACACAAAAACAATCAATCAAACAAACAAACAAAAACAACGAATTCTTCCTGGCAGTCACCATCCTACCACCCTGGTTTTAATTCCCAATGATTTCTGATTCTGAAAAGAAAATGTTTATGAAATAAACACATATTGCAAAAACTCCAATCTAACAAGACAAAAGAAGGTAGCTTTACTTGGAACTTCACAAGCCAATCTTCCTTTCCTGAAACTACTAATAGGATAAATCTTATACTTAAAGACATAAAAAGAAAAATGAAAGTGCCTAAAACTTGGGGTTTTCTGGGACTTGACATGTGGAGAAAATTTTAATCTAAAGAGGTTGGGAATTGTAAAAGCATGTGTCCTTTCAAAGTAATGCTTGCCTGATTCATAATTTAATATCTCTAAAATATTGCCAGCAGTTTGGAAACTTAGAGTTTGGCCTTGGAGCTCTGCAATATGTTAGAATAGACCTATTATTCAAAAAGAAGGAAAGTTGGATAATTAGTTTTAACTTTTTAAATGGGGAGGATGAGAACATAGAGAAAAGGGAGTATGATTTTGTTTTAAAACCCTAATGAAAAGTGTGTATAATATAGAAATATTTAGTTGATAGGAAAAAAAATTTAACTACTAAATTAAATTTAATGTTTTCACAAATGTATGTAAGCACCCTACAAATTATTTCTGTATTAGATTCCCCCCTACTTCATGGGATTGCTATTATGATTTAAATATTTAAATGTTAGGCTACTGTCCAGCCTTTTAATATAAAAATTAATATTTTATTACAATTACACAAGTGATTTGTGTTAAATGCAGGCTGTCACTAAAATAAGTGATTCTTTTTGCCATATAAGGTAATATATAAAAGTTCAGCCTTTCAATATTTAATATTTATATATTAATATAATATATTAAAGTTCCTTGTGCCATATAAGGTAACATATTCATGGCTTTAGAATCTTAGAAAGAGGACATCTTTGGAGGATGTTATTTAGCTTACCATGGGACAAAGTTTAGGACTCTTTAGACAAGCCTTCCCATTTTATACTTCAAGAATTTGAAGTTTGCCATGGCCGAGTGGCTCAGTTTGTGGGGGAGTCAATGGGGACACTAAAAAGTTTCTGGTTCGATTCCTGGTCAGGGCATATATCTAGGCTGCGGTTTGGCTTGGCTTGATTGCAGTGTGCATACAGGAAGTAACAGGTCCACACTATGCCTACAGGAAGCAAGAGGTCCACATCCTCCCTCTCAGGGAGCTAACGGTGACTGAAAATTTTTGCAAGAACTAAGGTTTTCTGTGTGTGTGTGTGTGTGTGTGTGTGTGTGTGTTAATTTTCACCTTTTAACAAAGGATTTCTATATAGCAGTGAACCATACCAATTCTCTGGGTCTTACATAATTTTATATCAAAATTGGGGGAGGGGTACAGGAGATTAGGCAGGTTTGCCCCTCACCCTTTTGCTGTTGTGTTTGTGCCTTCACTTGTGCTCTGCGTGTGGCTGGAATTCTGCAAAAGACTGGAGAATATAATGGGAATTCAATGTGTATACAGAAAAAAATGGAATGAGGAGAACTGGCTAAGAGAGTTGGTAACTGAAGGCAAGTAAAGAGCAACTAGACACCCGTGGCTTGTAGGGTTGTCTACGCCAGGTAGCGGCTTCCCAAGAAGTTTCTTTAAATTAACGGATCCTGACGGTTTGACTCAGTGGATAGAGCGTTGGCCTGCAGACTGAGGGGTCCCAGGTTCCATTCCGATCAAGGGCATGTACCTTAGTTGCCTGCACATCCCCAGTGGAGGGTGTGCAGGGGGCAGCTGATTGATGATCATCTCTCATGGATGTTTCTTACTCTCTATCCCTCTCTCTTCCTCTCTGTAAAAAAATCAATAAAATATATTTTTTAAAAATAAAAATAAATAAATTAACGGATCCTGCCTCCTCCGCCTCCGCCTGCCCTGGCCCTGACCACTCTGCTCTGTCCCGCCTGCAGGTCATGATGATGGGCAGCACCCGCGTGGCGGAGCTGCTGCTGGCCTACGGCGCGGACCCCAACTGCGCGGACCCCGCCACCCGCACGAGGCCGGTGCACGACGCGGCCCGGGAGGGCTTCCTGGACACGCTGGCGGCGCTGCACCGAGCCGGGGCGCGGCTGGCCGTGCGCGACGCCTGGGGCCGCCTGCCCGTGGACCTGGCTGAGGAGTCTGGGCACCGGGACATCGTCCGCTACCTGAACGCGGCCGCAGCAGCAGCCGGCGCAGGTCCTGCAGGTGAGACGGCCCGAGCTCAGACAGTGAACTCGGGGAGCCCAGCGCCCCCCTTTATCAGAGAGAACCGGAGCCGCCGGTCTCAGCTCACGCGCAGCCGGCGGACAGGATATCCCGGGTATCCCGATCACACCGCCCTGCAGGACTGTGGGTAGGAAACAGCCTCAGGTGGACTTCAGCAGGTCAAAATCCATTCCCTACACCCCGCCCCCGACGCTCCAAAAACTCAGCCTCCCCGCAGCTCAAGGCCGGCACCTGGAGCGTCACCTGGAGGCTGGAGCGCAGGTGGTGGTGGGGGGACACGCACCCATTGGGCCGCCCTCCCCCCCCCCCCCCCCCCCCCGCTCCTCCCAGGGACGCCGGCAGGGGAGGCGCAGCTCAGGGCTCGGAGCCGGGTGCTGGAGCCAGACGTGGGAGCCGCGGGAGAGAATGAAATAGTTTCCTTGGGCGTCAGGCAAATGAAAACCGAGTAAACCTTTATACCCAAACCTAACGTGTGCAAGTCAAGCTCGAAGGCCGTTCCTTCCTTCCCCAGTCGCGGGACCAACCTTGGCACTTCCAAAACCAGTTGCGACCCGCATCGCCTGGCAGAGATCTGTCATTCCCGGCTCCGTTGCAAAATGAGACGCAACCTGCCCCTCGGCTCTAAGCGACGGGGCTTTTCAGAGCTTCCCCCAGGCACTCTGGAAGCATCTGGGATGGAGACCTCGCCAACCCTCGCAGGCAGCCTAAGCCGCAGCCGCAGCGGGGTTTGATAAGCACTCCGCACTCGCACTCCGGGGGGGGGGAAAAAGAACCTTTCTAAAGCTTTTCACCCTCTTAAGCTTTCCGTCGTCCAGACGGGAGAGCGGGAGAGATCGCTCAGAGAGATGGGTGTGTGTGGGGGGGGAGGGGGGGTGGGTGTGGGTGTGTGGTTCTTTCCTGTTATTCTACCACCGCAAGCCCCCAGCCCCCACGCCCCACCTCCACCTCTGCTCGCCTAAAGTGCCAACCCCAACTTTTCCCTCCGGGAACCATTTTATTAAAATACATATATGAAGCAATATTCGAAATTAGCACTGATATTTAAAGTAAACACCGGCTTTGAGAATACTGATATCCATCCAGTGGGCTCAGAACTGGGGCACCAGGCCCCCTGGGCCTGAGGGGAGCCTGGGACAGAGAAGAGAGTCTTACTATGGGTGCAGTGCCTCTCTGGGATCTCAGGGGGAGGAAGATCTCCTTTAACCTGTCCACCCTCTCGCTCCTCCTCCGATTGAAGTTTAAGTCCCAGACTCTGCAGAGGACCTGGGCCCAATGGCAGGGGCAGGAATCGGGAGCAGTGGAAGAGAATTCAATGATTCCGTTGGGCCCCCAGACAAATGAAAATGGAGCGGCCCTTTTATAACCATACCCAAGCTTTGCAAGCCAAGCAGACACGCCCTTCCTTCCCTTCTCCCCTCCACTTCCCTCCCTCCCTCCCAGCCTTCCTTCCTCACTTAACTGAGATCCTATCATGTGATCAGACGCCTTTTAGGTAGGGCACAGAACTGAAGGAGCCCTGCCCTCATAGAGCTTACCGTCTAGGAAACGGACTTTTAACACTGTAACAATGTATTTTAAGGGATGAGTTTGTAAAACCAGCGTGGTGGATGAGAATGAAGTCTGATCAGGAGGGGGAGGCTATCTTAGAGTGCTCTGGGAACCCGACTGATGAGGGGGTGGGGGTGGGGGAAATAGCCTCTATAGACAGAGGAACTCTCAAGTGCAAAGAATTCGGGTAGAATGAATGGTGGGTCAAGAGGAGGGAAAGGCAGAGGGTACCCAACTAGATCAGAGAGGAGGGCAGAGGCCAGATAATTGTAGCGTCTTGTAGGTCGAAGAAGGGATGATTGATCGGAATGTGGATTTGTTCTAGAAACTGTAGGAAGCCATTAGGTGGTTTTGGAGGGGGCCCTGGAGGCAGACAATAGGACTGGAGCCCAAGGCTCCCAGACTGCAGAGCAGCCTACACCGGGTCCTCTATGTGAGTTCCTTGGGTCTCTCCGCCAGCCAGCATCAGGTGCCAGAGACGTTTGGGGATGTGCCAAGGGAGAGGCAGCGCCTTTATAGTTTGCTCCTGGCGTCCTGTCCCGTGTGGCAGGCCCTGGGCGCCTGCTCCAATGCCCAGCTTTCCTCTCGCAGCCCCCGAGGCCAGAGGGGGGGGGGCAGAGAGGCAGAGAGGCCAGCGGGGTGGGGAGCGGGAGCCCAGAGAGGCCAGCGAGGCAGGCGGCAGACACGCTCCGAGATCTGAGGGGGAGGGGGAGTGTCTGCTGGCAAGGTCCCTTCTCCATGGACAGACCCTGTGCCCAGAGCTGGTTGATACTGAGAGGAGGTCTACACGTGGACGGAGCTATCCTTGTCCATACGTGTCTGAATTCCTGGTGTGGGCTTGCAAGAAAACGAAGGAATGGATCGCATCCTTTTGATTTCTGATGTCTGATGTCTTTTTTTTTTCTTTTTCTTTCTGCCAACTGCAGTCCCCGGGGCTTAAAGAACCACCGAAAGCCAGAGGCATCACCGGAGGCCCAGACCACTGCCCCGTCCCCTACTGACCCTTCCTGCTTTATGAGCTGCAGTTTCGCCCATGGCGATTTTTAACATTGTAAGCCGCTTCATCGCCAGCAGATCTCTTCCTTTCCCCTCAATCCCCCTTGTATCTGAATTCATACATTGATAATAAAAAGGGTTTTAAAAACCCAACGCAGGTTCCTGCCTTTTTCATTGGGTTGGAGTTAGCCTGGCGGATGCCTCGCGCCTGCTGCCTGGTTTGTGAACCAGGAACACGAAGCTTGAATGGGGTGCATGGCCTTTCCGGTTTCAAACTGCCAGCAAGTGTCAGAGCCAAGGCTCAATTTTTTAAAAAGTTTCTTCCATTCGTTCATTTATTTGGTCAACAATCACGGAGCACCTATGCTGGCACCATGCCAGAGGTCTAGTGTGGGAAGACAGACATCAAATATTAGATCCAAACACATGACTAGAAATTTAAATGCACTTTCATGGAATCAAAGACAGCGTTGTTTCCGAGACTCACCGTTGTTTCATGTTTTTTTTTTTTTTTTTTAAGAAACTTGTTTTTTAAATATATTTTAGTGATTTTTTTTTATAGAGGAAAGGAGTGGGGGAGAGAGTTAGAAATATTGATCAGCTGCCTCCTGCACACCCCCACTGGGGATGTGCCCATAACCAAGGTGCGTGCCCTGGACCAGAATCCAACCTGGGACTTTTCAGTCCGTAGGCCGTCGCTCTATCCACTGAGCCAAATCGGTTAGGGCCATCTCATGTATTTCTTAAAAATAAAAGTGCAGTGTAAGAGCACATTCTGCGGATTGTAAGACACGTGCAGATCTCAGGTGATACAATGTCAAAAGTCACCTCTTAAGATAGATGGAAGGAAGACCTCACTTCCCCTTACTCGCCTCAGTATTGGAGCCTCCTTCCCCCCACCAAGTTGGGATATTTTGCCCAGGAACCCGAAGCCAGCAGGCTTCTGTGTTTGGGGCTTCTTGGCCCCAGCAGGGATGCTGCAGGGACTGATCCAACTTCAACTGGGCAGGAGGCCACACCCCCTCCTCCCAGGTCTGAGGCGTGCCTCCGGTTACTGTTTATTGAGGTGCAATTCACAGAACATAAATTAATTGTTTTAAAGTGTACAATTCGGTGGCAGTTAGAACACTCAGTGTTGTACAACCATCACCATTTATCTAGCTCCGGAACATTCATTACCGCCAAAGGAGACCCCATACTAATTAAGCACTCATTAAACCCCTAGTGTGTCTCCTATTGTGTCTATGGATTTATTATTCTGTACATGATTCCACTTACAAGAAAGGTCCAGAATTCCTATAATTCCAATTATATGCAATGTCCAGAATATATGTCTGTCTTTATGTCAGCTCCACAGTTTTGATTACTGTATCCTTGTAGTATGTTTTGAAATTGGGAAATGTGAATATTCCAACTTTGTTTTTCTTTTTCAAAATTATTTTGATCTCTCTCAAATTTGTCCCTTGCAATTCCATATAAATTTCTGCCAAAAAGAAAAGAAGCCATTGAGCTTTCCAAAGGGATTGCATTGGATATGTAGATCACTCTGGGTACTACTGCCATCTTGAAAATATCATGAACACAGAATGTCATTTCATTCATTTAGGTGTACATTAATTCCAGTGATATGTTGTAGTTTTCAGTATATAAGTATTGCCTCTACTTGGTTGAATTAATTCCTAAATATTTTATTCTTTTTGAAGCTATTGAAAATTGAATTGAGGCACTGGCCATGTAGCTTAGTATTGTCCTCATATCCAAAGTGCACATATGAGAATTAAACAATGAATGCATGGTTAAGTGGAACAACAAATTCCCTCCTTCTCTTTCTCTTTCTTTCTCTCTTTCTCTCTTTCTCTCTCTCTCTCTCTCTCTCTCTCTCTCTCTCTCTCTCTCTCTCATCAATAAATAAAATTGAATTGTGTTCTTAAATTTCTTTTTTTTTGGATTGTCCTTTGCTAATGTGTAGAAATACAACTGATTTTTGTGTTACTCCTTTATCCTGCAACTTCACTGAATTTTTTTTTTTAAATCATCACCCAAGGATATTTTTTCCATTGACTTTTTAAAGAAAGTGGAAAGGAGAGAGGGAAGTGGGGAGAGAAACATGGACATGACAGAGACAAATGGATGGGTTGCCTCCAGCACCGCCCCCCCCACACACACACACACATAACTGGGGTGGGGATCAAGCCTGTAACCAAGGCACATGCCTCTGACCCTTTAGTCCACCTGCTGACACTAACTGATGAGCTGCACTGACCAGGGTCACTCAATTTGTTTCTTAGCCCTACTAGAGTTGTGTCCGTGTGTATAGGAATTTTCTACAAATAAAATTATAACATCTGCGAGGGAGATGAATAGTTTTACTTTTTTCCTTTCCAAGTTGGATTCCTCTTATTTCATTTTTCTGTTCTGTTTAGAATTTTCAGGACAATGTTGCTTATAGAATTTTGGATAAAAGTCATTCTTATCTTGTTCCTGATCTCAGTGAGAGATTTTTCAACCTTTCATCACTGACTATGATGTTACAAATTTTCAGAAATGCTCTTATCAGAGTGAGGAAGTTTTCTTCTGTTCCTAGTTTGTTTAATATTTTCATTATAAAAGAGTGTTGGCAAAATTATTTTTTACATCAACTGAGATGACTTTTTTCTTTATTTTATTAATATGGTGTATAGCATTGATTGATTTTCATACATTGATCCCCCTGGCACTCCTGAAATAAATCTTCCTTGGACGTGGTGTGTAATCCTTTATCATTCAGCTGGACTGAATTTGCAGATATTTTGTGGAGGATTTTTTTGCATCTATATTCATAGAGGATTTGGATTTACAGCATTCTTTTTTTGTCATATCTTTGTCTGGTTTTAGCTCCAGGGTAATGTTGGGCCCATGGAACAATTTTGAAGTGTTCATTCCTCTTCCATTTCTTAGAGAAGTTTGAGAAGAACTGCTGTTAACTATTCTTTAAACTTCTGATACACTTCACTAGGGGAAACTATCTGGCTTCCGGCTTTTCTTTGTCAAGGGGTGTTTGTAGGATGCAATTTATTTGCTTATTTATAAGTCTTCAGATTATCTTTCCCCGCTTTGAGTCAGTTCTGATAGTTTATGTTTCTAGATATCTGTCTGTTTCACCTACTTGTTCATGGTTTTCTCTTATAGCCTTTTTTTAAAAAAGTATTTTATTGATTTTTTTTTTTAACAGAGAAGAAGGGAAAGAGATAGAGAGCTAGAAACATGGACCAGCTGCCTCCTGCACAACCCCCACAGGGAATGTGCCCGAAACCAAGGTACATGCCCTTGACCAGGATCAAACCTGGGACCCTTCGTGTACGCAGGCTGACGCTCTATCCACTGAGCCAAATCGGTTTCAGCAACCCTTCTTATTTTCTTAAAGCTAGTTACATCCCCGTTATGTTGTGTTTAAGTCATCATTTTATTAACTGAATGTTCGCTAGGTTGCTATAAGCCTTTGACTACTTTCTAAGTCCCACAATGCCAATTCTAACACTTATCTTAGTGTTTCTGTGCAGGGAGGGGTCCTGCTCTGCCATTTTCACTGTTTTGTTTTAGAGCAGTTTAATACGAGCACACACACGTGCACACACACACACACACACACACACACACACACACACACACACACGCCCTTTCGGTTAATTCCAAGGGGGCAGCCTCCCTGCTCCCCGTTGCCCGCAGGCTCCCCCGCTGGAGGCGGGAGCCAGAGCCGGGGCAAGTGCAACTTCCAGCCGCAGGCCTCCTGCCCCTCCCTCCCCTCCCACCCTTCCCCGCCTCCCACCCTCCCGGAGGCGGCCGGCGGGCCTCCCCAGCTCGCCCGGGACCCAGAAGTCCTCTGAGCTCCTGGGCCAGGGTTTCCAAAGTGCTGGCTGAAAACCGCGACTGATTAAAAGTAAAAGAGGAAAAAAGGGGGGAGGAAGGACAGAAAGAAAACAAAGGGAGGAGTTATAGGTAAGTTTAAGGCTATAAAGGGGGGAGGGGAGAGGGAAGGGAGGCACGGGGCTTTCCCATGCTAAAGGACCAACTTGACCTGGAGGCTATCAAAGGATCTGCTGGTCTGATGATGCTTTGACAAAGAAAAAGGAAATTTCAGCTTTAGTGGGTCCACTGGGAGCCCGCGGGCCAGCAGAGCAGGCCTGGGCCCAGCCACCTCCAGGGACGGAAACGGGCTGTGGGTCCTAGGTCCTCGCACACCCTGGGGGGCGGCAGCTCCTCCCAGCCTCATATATCTGGCTTAAGCAATAATCAGTAATAAGCATGAGGAAGAGTGTGTTGCTTGGCCTCTCTCCTAGCGTCTAGGGGTGGTGAGAATCCTTGGTATTCCTTGGCTCGTAGAGGCATCACTGCAATCTCCGCTCCGTCTTCATATTTCTTTCTCCTCTGGATCTCCGTTGTCAAATCCCCCTCGCCTTTCTCTGGTACCTGCATTGGTTATTAGACTTTTAGAGCCCATTCTAAATCCAGAATAATCCCACGCTGAGATGCTGAATTTAATTGCACCTGCCAAGACTCTATGTTAAAATAAGTTTACATTCTTAGATGCTGGAGGTTCAGACGTGGACTCATCTTTTTGGGAGGCAGTGTTCAACTGAATACACTGCCTAATTCATTGCTTCCCCCCCCCCCCGCCCCCTACCCCAGAGAAGAAACAAGTACACCAGGGATAGATTTTTTTTTTTTCCCAAAGATGAGCCCCAAAGCCAAAAACTCTTGCAAGATCAGTCTACAACATCCAGAATCTCTGGTGAATAAAATTAGAACACTGGTTGGGTATGAATTTTTAAGGCAAAGAGAATAAGAGTTTGACTTTTGTGGCCATCAGGAAAAAAAAAAATCTGGACAAGATTGCTCTCCACAAACTGGGGTGAGGACACTAACAGGAATGATCTGTGTACAGGACCAGGTGGATTAAGGAAGCTA